TAATCAGATTATTTTTTTCAAGTAACTAGTAAAGTAACGCATTACTTTTTAATTTATAAGAGAATATATGAGTTACTTTTTCAAACAAGTAACACAAGTTACTTTTTTTTTTCCAATTTATTGATTGACAGCTCTCCTGTCCCCATGTTGAGAGAAATCAGAAGATGTTACTGTAGTTCTAAAATATATGCATTAATTCATCTCACTCACAAAAAAAACTCAGATTCAGTATTCCGCAACATGAATAAAAATAATGCAACTCTGAATATGACGCAAACCTGCAATAATTAAATGTTAAACAACACAAATATCCTTTATGTATTTAATCCCATTCTATTAACCAATGTCTTTGCTTCTGACCTTCGATGATCCAGTTCAACCGTACTAATAAGCAAAAATGTCTCTAGATAATCATTTGTGTGTTTTTTTTTTTTATTGCTGAAGTGTGTTGAAATTTCTTCTTCTGCATTCTACTGTACGGACGTAAATTTACTTTCCCTTCAGCCTGCGGCTTATTCATTTCACTTTTGGTGTGAAAAGGCTTTTATATTTGCCAAACATATAACTTTTTTATTTTAAAAACAAACAAGCAAGCCCTGTCCAGATTTTAAAAGTAACGCAAAAGTAACGTAACGCATTACTTTCCATAAAAAGTAACTAAGTAACGTAATTATTTACTTTTTTTATGGAGTAACGCAATATTGTAATGCATTACTTTTAAAAGTAACTTTCCCCAACACTGCTAACGACGATGCAATATAATCAAGGTATTTCTGTAGCTGTATGTTAATTGCTTTTCACTCTAAATCAAAGGAACCAAAGCAAATCCAGAAGTGTGCAGTTGCAGTTGTCAACTGCGCATGGGCATCTCTACCAAGAATAAAGAACATGTTAAGGAATTTGGTCAACATGGGGAAGTCATCCTCCTCCAAATTCCAACTAAACAACGCCCTCCAACGGCGAGCAGGGGAGGATGACTTTTTAGTCGATTTGAACTTTTTTTTCTCTTGTCTGTCTCTTTGTTAGTTTTTGTCATTTGTTTTCATAGCGAAAATGTTTCAGTATACACCACAGTTTTAGTGTTATACACATGCCACGGTACAACACAATTTACAGACATCAAATTTAAGTTGAACTGCAATTAATTAATTATTATTATTATTATTATTATTATATTAGGCCCTACCATGCGGAACTATGTTACCATCCTTCATTTGTAATCTCAAGACATGACGGTTTCTCCGCCCCTTGTCTGTCACCCGCTGGAAGGAAACCGGGCGCGTGCTTTTCAAAACAAGCCCGGGCGGATCACGTGCACTGGAAAGCAAAAGCAGCAGCTCGCGCACCGAGCACGGCATTTGGCTTCAGGTGCGCTCATGGTTGTACTGCGTCATATCTCCGTGGCGTTTAGCGCCGCTATGGCTGCGGTCGGCACCACGCTGTTTATCGCACTCAATCTTTTTTATAAAAGACGAGTATGGACACCAGAGTCAGACTACTACACGTTCCGAGAGGTGAGTATGAAGCGAAAGAAATGGTTTCTCTTTTTATGATACCGCCTGCATGCCGCGCGTGACTGATAGGTAGCATAGAGACAATTGTCGAGGGAACTCTCAAGTTAATTGAACTGTACGTACTGTATGTCTGTCATGACTCGTGTGCATACAGATTATGCTTGAAATGTACTTTTTGAGAAATCATAGCATAGAGAAAAGTAATCCTGCTTGTCTTATTGTATCCTTATCTAATTTCTGTGTATTTGTTATGCTTTTTATATTTCTCACTAAAAGTACAATACCCATCTGCATGAAACCTCCCCCCAAAAAATGTTGCAAACGTATTGTTTATTATCAAAAAAGAAAAAGATATTTAGAAGAGCACAGTTCCCAAGGTCATGGAACACTCGAAAATATAATGTTATATTTTCCACGCCTGGAACAGTCATGGAAATTAATAAATATATTAAAGTCATTGAAATTTCTATAGTGAATAATATAAATATTCAGTTATGCTCAGCTCTATACTATTTCAGTCAGCAGCTAGGTATTAATTTTGGAAGAGATTGCTTGCAAGTGATGTTCAGTTGTTCTTTTGAGTCGGTTCATTTCAGTGAATCAGTCAAACTGTTCTGAACCATTCATTAGGGAAAGATCATGAAAGTTCATTTATCACACAAAAGTCGAAAAAAAATTATATGGATTCTTCATTTTGAACATAAAGTTGCAATAATGCAAAGACACATTTGTAATGTATGTGCCACAAAATATTATAACATTTGATGTAGAGTGCAACAGAGTAGCCAAAGTAACAGAAACCGGGACAGTCTGTTTGTTATTACACAACTAAGACCCTAATTAATGATGGCAAGACTCTTGACTATTTGTACGTGAAGTTGCATAATTAATTCCGGCAGCTTGCACTAAAATCCCAGCACTAGACTCTGGATAAACAGACTTTAAATCCAATTCTGTTCCATTGCTCATTTCACTCCCTTTTCTTCCATGAACATGTATATATTTAGGAGGAGGAGGAGCGCAGTGAGAAGCAGGTGCTTGTTCTTGGGTTGGATGGCGCTGGTAAGAGCAGCGTTCTGCAGGGGCTGAGCGGAGCGGGCTCCAGGAGGGGCTGCCGACCCACACGCGGCTTCAACTTCATCAGCCTACACACACCTGCATGCCAGCTGGACTTCTTGGAAAGTATGGATCAGTGCCAGACCACCCTGTTGGCTCGCATACCTTTGTGAGGAAGAAGTACGATTTAGCATAATTTTAAAAAGAGTACTTTTGCAGGAAGAATATACTTAGGTGCATACTGAATGTAATGTTTTCTGACACTTAATAGCATGTTATTTACAATTAAATGAAAATATACTGTATTATAGTTTACATTTATATTAAATGCAACTTGAGACTGAACTTGAGAGTGTGTTTAACCCATTCAAGTAGGATTATGTACATCTTTATATGTCATTTTCTTACCACTTTTGTCTTGCAATATGGCTAAAGTGTTATGCTGAATGTACTGACAATCATTTATGGTAAACTATACTTTAATATCATTTCCATTGAAGCTTTTATGTCCTGTATTTAAATATATTTGTAATTACCCATTTGTAATGATGAAGTTGCTATTAAGTACATTTAGAATATATTAACGTAAATGTAATATCAAATAATACATTAATATCAAGTACTTCATTTGTGCTTAAGCATGTTAGCCAACACAAAAACTGTACTTTTATAAAGCGCACGGCAAAATGTTATTAAAACGTGATTTCAAATGTACTTTGAAGTACAAAACTTTATTTTGACATTATTACAAAATGCACTTTTTGAAAGTATGCACTAATGTATTAAGAAACTTAGTTTAATGAAAGTGTACTCTCTTAAGTACACTTATGTTGCCTTTTATTTCATTAAAATTGTTACCTGCAGTGCAGTTTTTTTAAATGTACTTTGAAGTACACTACTTGTACAAATTAAATACAATTAAGTGCATATATTTCTCATGTGGGATACTTTAATTCCTGCTCTACAAGTAATAAATATTCAGTTAATGCCTTATTTATGATTTCTTAGTTTAGAAAAGCCTGTTTGTCTGTGTCTATGGCAGTAATAATACATCATACAGTTAATTCCTGTTTTGATTATCTTTTCCTATCAGTTGGAGGTGGTGAAGACTTGCGAATGTACTGGGTGGATTACCTAAGGAGAACACATATCTTGGTGTACGTGGTGGACTCCTCTGATAGAGGCCGGCTCCCTCAGGCCAAAGACGAGCTCCATCGATTACTTAAAGCAGACACTGATCTACCAGTGGTGGTCTTGGGAAACAAGCAGGTAACCAAAGGCTCAGTTCTTGGTTTAAACTTTAACCCTGTTTATAATGTCAGAAAGGCTTCATATTGATTTCCTAGATCCTAGTTAAAGGGATAGTTTGCAGTAAAGCTGCTTATATAAATAAAAGTTACTTGATTTGATCGTTTATCCTATTTTGTTTTGAATGTTTTTACTCGTACAAAGTCACAGGGGTTTAAAACAACACTGGACACAGCCGACTTTAATTGTAAAGACAAACATCAAATTAACATTTCAAAATATTTTCATTGTGTTCCGCAGAAGGAAGTCATACAGGTTTGGATATTCATTTTTCTCTGATGATATTCATCTCTTTAATAGAGTGCCAGGCTCCCTTGTTTATGTTTCAGTGTGAATCTGGACTAAAATGCTTTTTATACCCTCATCCAGGATAAGCCCAATGCTGTTAGTGTCCCAGAGCTGCGTGAGGCTCTCTCACTGAGCTCAGTGGTTGATCAGAGGAAGCTTTTCCTGCTGGCTTCTCAGTCAGGATCTGACGGATTAAGCAGAACCTGTGGCCTCCAAAAGTTCCAAGACCTGCTTCTGACATTGGTATGAAACCAAGCTGCCATTTGAAGGTTGGCACTACTGTGCCAGAAAGGACAGGCAAAGGGATCTTGAGGAATGAGGGAGCATTCGATGTATTGGTTTCATCCTTGAATCATGCGATGAGTAAGGAGCACTTGCGTCATGGCAAAGCTACTGTTGTGACACTGAAGGAGTTGAACAAACACTTTTTTTTTCAAAATGAGTACTGTGGGCATTATTGCTGCTAGTTACAATGTACAATATCTCACTTGTCATTAATAGGATTATTATATTCAGTATTACAAAGACCACATTTCATTATGCTTTATCTCTGCATGTGGAGTCAACTTGGCGAATCACAGAAAGAAACAGGAAATTGTATTTTGCTTGACAATGAATGTTCCTTGTCCATGTTTCACATATGATATATCCTTCCTTTGATCTATCTATCCATATTTATATATATATTTCTACAGAATTGGTCCAAAGTCAGAGTTGGAAACATCTTGAAAAAAGTTTTATAATATTCAAGGTACACATTTCTAGTAATTGTGCAGTTAATTCTCATATTGTATTAAAGAAATGTTTGGAATATTTGTCCTCTCACAAAATTTGTCACTACCGAAACACATGATAATTTAATTAGAAGGGTTATATTGACCTATTGAGCTTTTGCTTGCATCTAGATTGTAAATATATATATTTTTTGCTATTTTATAAAAAAAAATTTCAGAGGTAAATCCATAATAAAATTTTTAACAATATTTCAAGTGCAATTTATGAGATTTATTGTATTTTGAATCCAATTTTCTTTGTAAAAGGCAAAAAGTTGATCATACTGATTTGAAAGCTAAGGATTCATTAGTTTGAATATACATTGAACCAAAACTATCATAACATCTTTGTTGATAATTCAGTATACTTTATTTTTGACAAAACATCCCATGTTTTTTAGTGACCGCATATTTTCGGTAGTGATAGTAATGATTTGGTAGCAACCATGTCAAATTACAGAATTTTAACTCGCATACTAAAACTGTACTAAAATTTAGTTTATTTCCACAAAATATGAGGATTATGTGTTCCTTTTTGTCACTACCGAAACAATGATGACATGTTTCGGTAGTGAAAATTCTATGGGAATTTAACACCCCAAAAAACAAAGATGTCACTACCAAAACTCCACCAAATGTTTCGGTAGTGACCATTTTAGATACTTCTGAACCTAGTTCAAAGATGCTAATCAGCACATGGTTAGCTAGCACAGTTCTGAACAGTAGTATACATATAAAAACTAAATGTTATGGATTAACTCTCAAAAAAGTGATTAATTGCAGAAAAAATGTTTTCGTTAGTGACGTTCCTTAAAGTTACACACAGATTTTTCAGACTTTTGAACACATTTACCTCAAAATGATGAGACCTATCTACTCATGCCTTGTAGCTATGAGAGAGGGGGACACAGGAATATTTCCTGATCATAAATTTATGGGTTTAGTTAAAATCAGTCTTGGCCAGTAGACTAAAACATACACTGTTTCGGTAGTGATTTAAAAAAATGCGGGACACTTTTTTTTTTTGCATAAAGTTTCATAATTTACTAAGAAAATATAGAATTGATATTTTTTTTTGAACTTCACTTTTTCAAAGAATCAGAAATATACTTTTAAAACCAACAATGGAAAAAAATACAAAAATTATTTCAATATCATTTTCATAAGTTGAAATTTAGGGGTAAGAGTTTGGGACAGCCACCTCCCAATTGAAAGTACCCAATAAATGATGATTTTATATATATTAATCTTACTAACATTTTAAATATTATTGTGAGTTTCAACAGATAATACAAGAATCTTAATATACATCCAAGATAAATGTATTTTTTGGTTGTGGGACAGCAGTTTGCACCAATTCTGTAGAATGACCCATATATATATATATATATGTGTATATATATATATATATATATATATATATATATATATATATACAGTGGGTACGGAAAGTATTCA